ATCAGCGACGCGGGCATCATGCACCTGGCCATGGGCAGCCTGCGGCTGTCCGGCCTCGACGTCTCCTTCTGCGACAAGGTGGGCGACCAGAGCCTGGCCTACATCGCGCAGGGCCTGGACGGGCTGCGCTCCCTCTCCCTCTGCTCCTGCCACATCAGCGACGAGGGCATCAACCGCATGGTGCGGCAGATGCACGGGCTCCGCACCCTCAACATCGGCCAGTGCGTCCGCATCACCGACAAGGGCCTGGAGCTCATCGCCGAACACCTCAGCCAGCTCACGGGCATTGATCTCTACGGCTGCACCCGCATCACCAAGCGGGGCTTGGAGCGCATCACCCAGCTGCCCTGCCTCAAGGTGCTCAACCTGGGACTTTGGGAAATGACTGAGAGTGAGAAGGTCAGGTGAGAGGAGGCGGGCGGCCCCGAGACCTCCGTCTCGTCTGGAGGGACTCACTGACGGACTGACTGACTGCTGCAACGGAGGAGAGGGAGAGGGGCACGCACAGAGCCATGCTACCCACACCCCCTGGCACCGAAGGGAGAAACGTAGAGAAAGAGAGTATGTCCTCGACTCTTCTGCGCTGCCTGCCACCCTTGCTCTGGAAGAGGAGGAAGCGGGGGCAGGAGAGAAAGCAAGCACCTGTCCGTTTTCCAGGTTGTGCCTCCAGCTCCGTGCTGGGGAGACAGAGCTCCCCCTTCCCCCAGAGCATCCTTCTCTGCGGACGAGGTAGAAGCCCACACTCTTATGCACTGGGGCCAGAGACACCCCTCTTTATCCCCACTCCCCGATTCCATCCCCTTGTGCACTAAGGATGGATAGAGAAAGACCCTTGTTCTGCCATCTATTCGGAACAGATTATTTTTCGGTTTATATAAAGGAGAGTGGGAATGAAGATGGGAACAAACAATAACCACAGAAAAGGCTTCCTAGCTACGCTTGTGTAGCCGGCCACCCAGTCATCCTGCGCTGGGCACAGACACAGCTTTTGGTAAAATAACCATTCCACCTCCGCGCTCGCTCCTCCCCTGTCAGCTGGGAACGGTGACAGAAATACTGCTCCCTAGGTACATTGATTTTTTTCTTTTTTTTTTAAAATCTGTTTTCAGTCTCCAGTTCCGTGTTATTCTCTGCTGTGGGTGAATACGACCTCCCACTATTCCAGTTCTCCACTGCACTGAGACTAGGGATAGCTACAGCCCCTCCTTTTGTCAGCACGTTTCCGTGTCGTCCTGCACTATGGTTAACGGAAAAGCCTAGGCACTCCATTCTCTCTCCCTGTCTCTGCTAGAGATGAAGATACCACTTCCTCCTTCTCCTGTCTCTGTGGGGACTGGACACAGACCCCAGTCTCTTCAGCCTTTCCACGCGCTGGGGGACACAGAGTTACCGAGACTCGTCTTCCCTTTCATCGTTCTCTTTTTCTCCCCTCCTTAGCAACAGGGATAGACATACCCAGCTACATATCCATTCCTCTTCGGGTCGGGGGTGAGCGGGTAGAAGGAGTGGCTAGCTCCCCTCTACCCAGGGGCCTCGAGGAAGAATAACCAGCTTCATTTCTGCTTCATTTGAGATACTGTGACCCGTTTTTATTTTTACATGCATAAAAAAAAATTACTGCTACAAAACCAGCCTCTTACTCTCCCATCTATCCCTTGCTTATGTCCTGTAACTGATCCCAGTTTTCCTCAATCATTCTCTTCACAGTATTCATTTTCTTACATGGTTTTATTTTTAAAGACATTTGAAGTTGCTGTTCTTGTGGATTTTTAAGTACATTTTTTTTTTTCTGCTGAATATATTCTATATGTATAAATATATATATGATGTCTGGCTACCTCGTTTTAATTTGTTACCTTTTTTTTTCCCCCCCCTCCCTCCTCAAAAGCCCTGGAATTCTTACAAGAAAGAGATTTTGAGACTGAAACATTTTTGTGCCTAGACTGGAATAACGCTCCTTGGGTTTGTACTTCTTTTTCTCCCCCTCCCCCCCCGTCCTTTTTTCTTAAAAAGGTTTTTGTTTTGTTTTTTTTTAAGCTTACCCTATTGTGTCCCACCTTCACATTCTGGTTGTGCCTCTCCCTCCCTGTTCACTGGGGACCCGAACCGTGCTTCTGCATTTTTACTCTTCTAGCACAAACGTGCAGCATGTGAGAATCCATGCTGAGGACTGGGCTACTGTTAGCAGAAATGTGTAAAATGCAAGTTCATTTTAAAAAGAATATATATATATATATGGATATATGCAAATACTTTCCCCTCCCAAATGGCCTACAAAAGGCCACCACGCGAGGCTTCCTGCTTGTAGGTGGAGAGGAGCAGAGCTGCAGGCCCCAGGGCTGCAGCGTGAAGGGGAGGAGACTGAAGTTCATCTGTCTTATCTCTGTTCTGTCTATAAAATGGAGCTGGGTCTTTAGATGTGTTTTTTTTTTTAATTATTATTTTAAAGAGGAAAAGTTTTGGGGTTTTCTTGATTTTTTTTTTTTTTTTTAAAAAAAATTTCT